TTTGGTTTATACCCGGATGTCCCAAATGAAACTGCGTCAAAACTCTGCTGCGGAGGTCCGAAGAAATGACGACGCGGTCAGCAAAAAGGTGGCGTACATCAACAATAGATTGGGCGTTACGTCTATGGAAAACTTGTCGGAGTTCCCCAGTTGGGCAATGTGATGGTCAGGCGGATCGGTGATATGTCATCGCCTGTTGGAGCGCGTTGTCCGATTCCGTCGCTGTGCGGACCATATCAAAAGTCACCGGTAATTGGTTTATGGTCTCCAAAACGGTGGCTCTGACTTCGGGTTCAATAGCAACGTTTGCGATAACCATTACTTCTGCTTCCGAGATCTGATCACGTATTAGTCGTGAAAGTATATCTGATTGTTCCATGTTACTAGTGAAAACGTACTCGATAGTGAAACTGTAGTTCAGAAATACTATGACCCAGCGTTGCACACGGTTCGAAGGTAAACTGGTATGCCTTTCCTAGAGCAAAAGTGGCCAACAACGACTTATGGTCGCTTACAAGGATGAAATGTCTCCTATAGAGCATTTTATGGAACTTCTTTAAGGTAACGATGATAGCCAAAGCTTCTTTTACAGTTCATCCGTAATTGCGCTCCGCTGGGATTAGAGATCGAGCAATATGAGCTAATGCCTTTTTCGTCCCATCAGGAAATTCGTGGGCTATGACTCCTTTCATTCTACAACTTGATGCGTCCGTTGTCAGGTTTGGATCAAATTGCGTCAACAGAAGTTTGGATTTCAAGTGTTTTTTACCTGATCAAAAGCACTTTGGCATTCGCTTGACCACTCCCATTTACATCCTTATGTAAGCAGCTGATTCAATGGTTCACGTAATCGGGACATATCTGGCAGGAATGCGCTATAATAGCTGATCAATCCTAAGCCTGACTTAAGTTCAGCAGGAGGCTTCACAACTGTACAGGAGGACTGAAGGGATGGCCGCCCTGAAGAGCAGAGTTAACAGTGCGGCCATCCCTTCAGCCCTCCTGTACAGTTGTGAAGCCTGGCCCATCAAGTCGACAGGCATAAAGAGGCTAGTCACGTTCCACCATCGCTGCTTCGCAGCTTACCTCTCATGTCCGGTGGGAACACCGCGCGACCAATGAGTGTGTTCGGCGTCGCGTATTTGGTGCAGGAAGAGCGAGTGAATTGCTCAGCACCATTATTTCGCGCACCAGACTCCGATGGCTGGGCCACGTGTTGCGCAGGACAGCCCACCGACTTTCGCATCGTGCGTTTGCGCGCTTGAGGTCTGGATGGAAGTGGCGAGGAGGCCAATTGATGACTTGGTCAGGAGGAATGAAGTCCCCTCACTGTGAATTTGGCATCGGTTGGTGTTTCGCAACCGCCGGGGTGAGGTCCGAAGGACGATGAACATGTTTGTTTGGATACTTTAGCTGATGGGGGGATCCGAAACCAATGGCACTTGTGTTGTGGGTCTCTATTTCCCTCCCCCTCTTTAGCTTCCCCCTCAACAACTAAACCCAATGCATAAAGTGAATTTAGCATTATGTTACTATGTCAGGTTTTTGTAGTCTCTATTGTTAAACTCTTATGTTTTATTATTGGGGCATATTAGCTGAAGTGTTTCCAACCCTCGGCGAACGTGTATTGATACTGATGATGATGACACATCTGTCTGATGCCAGAAGCAGCCTCGGTTGCCATGCTTGGTGTTGACGTCGCATTGAGGGACAAAGCTGAGGTCTCACTGCTCAATTGATTTCCGATTGATAACCGATTATGTGCGGTTGGACTTCAAGGCTCATACGCTCGTAGGGAGAGAGGCAATTTGTTTGTGCTATTTATCTACGTTCCGGCCGCCTGCAGTTGTGCATCAGTTAAGGACGACTTTTATCTCAGACTTCACCCGCTTTTGAGTAAAGCCCAAACATCCGATGTCCTCGGTCGCCTGCTACCATGCGAACGTCATTTTGGTAGCCGTCATGACCTTGATGTGAGTCGCTCTAATAACGGAGATAGATTTCTCACGTTATGTGAGGACAACCACCACTTTATCTCGTGCACGAAATTTTAAGCATATGAGGAGATGCACTGCCACCTGGCGTCCCCCTTCGCAAATACAAGCGTGGTCACAAATTGGTCGCATTGTAATCAGCTTCAAATGGCTGCGCGGTATAGGGGATTTCAGGTCGATTTGGTCCATGTAACTTGACTCAGATCACCCTCTGGTCTGTGCGGACATCTGCGTGCGTCTTGGGAGTTCCTCGAGACCAAAGCACCGTACGCTTGATTCCAACGTGCTAGTTGACCCCTCCACTCAACTGGCTTATCAGTTGCGTTCGTTAGTGTTTTACCTCAAGACAGCGAGCATCATTAGAGTTTCATATAGAAGGCCCTGATGTCCGATTGCCATGTTGAATCATTTGGCACCATCTGGGAAGCTGGATCTCTGCTCGCTCTTCGGAATTGTTTGATCGTCACGGAGCTATTCCAGATGATTCGAACAGCGGTGAAGCCCACGGCAACAAGCAAAGTCTGCGTAACGATCACGAAACTTGGTGGTCTCAGCGCGCTTCAGATGGAAACAGCAGCTCTCTCCTACAACTTTTGCAACCTTTTCCAGGTCATTCATACCAGTGTCCACAGGAGACCTGGTGTCATACAAGTAAAGTCAAATCAAGTTAAGGTAAGCTTTATGTATCCATATGAGCGCATTTTTAGCAATTTACTGTATCAGCTGCGGATTAAGTAAAATGACATCTTGGCAAGTGCAAAATTCTATAAATGGCCATAGAAAAAGAAAACTGGCGCGTTGATGTCATTCGAGTAAAAGGGCCCGCATTCTTGAGTATTGAGTGCATATTGATAACCAGAATCCTCGCGTTTTTTGCAGCCGACAGAGTATAGCTTTGTGAGGATATTTCTTCTTACTTGGTCTCATTGGCCTAAAGTTCGTGGCCAAAACGAACAAACTGCAAATATTGCGCAGTACCTGGGCTTAGTATTCAAAATATCAGTCTTATTGACCTTGGGAGTGATTGGATGACAAAAGCTGTCCAATTGTTCCTATAAAACTTATTGTATCCGCAGTTGATAAAGTAAAAATGATGTTCAATGTAAAGGCAATGGCCGATTTAAAGATCCCGCCCTGGGAATTTGACGGATCATTAATCACCAATTCGCCTAGGCGCATGGACCGCCGGGCTGAGCACTTCCACTCTCAGTTCATTTGGCTTCGTCCTTCCGCCTGTCTAGGAATTATGCCTAATTGCGCACCTTGAAACCTTTCACTGCAACCACTCACCGACGCCGTAGTCTGTCTTGAGCTTCGTCACTTGAAGCAGTTCAAGACTACCGGCTCAGACGGACTTTCTCCGGAGGTGTTCAAGTACGATGGCGAAGCAATTGGCAACCAGCACTTTTCACCAAGGTTTGATGTGAAGAAATGGTTCCGTCCTCTTGGGGCGAGTCGATTGTCGTGCCGATCTTCCAAATGGGGTGCTTGTACCTTATGCCTCGACCACAGTGGAATGAGCCTAACCTCCGTCGCCTCCAAATTGTTAACATCCATTTTACTCGGCAGGCTAACTCTGTTTCGAGAACTATCTACCCGTGAGGCACAGGCTGGTTTCCGTCCTGGTCGAGGGTGTGGACCACATGTTTACGCTGCGCCAACTCCCTGAGCAGCGTCACCTTTACCATCCATCTTTCTGGACATCTTAGTTGCGTTCGACTCGATCGATCGGCTTGCTTTATGACGTTTTCTGCAAAATAATGGGGTACCTGGAAAGCATACCGCCATCCTCCGAGCATTCTTCAGCAATGTCTCTAGCAGGGTGCGAGCTTATGGCAAACTCTATTCACCTTTCGTCGTCACTATCTGTGTGCGACAAGGATGTCCCGTGCCCATTTTTAATTTTGCGATTGAATGTGTCCTATTAAACGCTCTCCAGTGTTCTAGGCTAGATCTTCTTCTATGCAACCATGCGACTGACTTGGACTGTGCTGATGATTTTGCCTTGTTCAGTGACGACCCACGGATTATGCAGATCATTCTAAACCGTTTGGCGGTTGAAGCTACCAAGTATGGATTGACGTTCGTCCCATGGAAATGCAAAATCTTACTCTGGAATTGGCATCCACTTGCCTCAGTGGGGTGATTCTTGAAAACGCGCAGCTTAAAAAAGTGGATACGTACATTTACCTTGGGAACTGGGTTTTTGCTGATGGCACAATTGGAAGGGGATTTCTCTCCGTGTTACAAAATGCATCTGTGGTGTCGTGACGTTTCAATCTCGGTAAAGGGCAGGATCTACAGTGTCTGTGTTCATGCGGTACTGTTGTGTGCAAGCGAGTCCTGACCGATCCATGTAAATGACTTGCGTCGGATTTCGGCCATCAACAGCGGTTGTCTGCGGAGAATAGCTCGTGTGTTGTGGGAACACCATGTTTGCAACGACGATCTAAGAAATTGCGTCTTAGGTACTACGGATCTCCATCTCGACAAACTGATACCGCTGCGCCAACTACGATGACTGGGTTACCTCCTACGCACGTTGTACGAGCGTTTACCATGGCGCGCTCCATTTGCTTGTGATGGGCCGAACTGGAAGAAATTGCAAGGTAATGAACCTACCATTTGGTGACAAAACGTCAAGGTGCTGACTTCCAGTCTAGTTGTCTGTCCTATATGTCTTCCGGGCTGCGGAGTCAAGGATGAAGAACACCCTGCTGGTTGGAGACTCTTAAGGACATTTTACTCGTCGTTTGATTTTGGTTTGGAAATCAAATTTATCTCGCTCTGTCCCTTTCCCCGGCTGCTTCATAATTTTCGCATCCTATTTAAATCACTTTTCTCTTCATGAAGCACACTGCCACCGAAGGTAGTTCCAAGCTTCCTTCAGAGGATCCCTGCTATTAGACTCATCTACTCTATGTTGCAGTGCTTTAGCGTGCATTTTAATTAAATATGATAAAGCGATCAACCTCTTCCACGTGTCTCTCCTTACCCCGTCTCTAGGAGCCATGCACGGCGCTTCGACCAGATGAGCAGTTCACGTTTGACGAAGGTCACAAGGCACAAGTTTTGTTTGGGGGTACAAAAGTCGTCCAATTCACTTCTCCGTCAAAAAGTTCAAACCAACTCAGAGGTATTTGTCGATTGACCTTAACTACTCGAAATTTGGTTACCTCTCAAATATCTATTTCACATTTGTTTTTTGTTAATAATGACACCTTTGATAGACTCGGATTTCTTTTTATGCCGAGATTCGGTACTTTTATTCGGTATCGTATTAAATTCCCTACCTCTCGTGTTGACTGTTGTAGTTATCCGCTTTTTCCCGGACGATCATATATTCCATTACTTCTTCATGCAGCGCTTCCGATGAAGAATTGATCACACTCAACGTCCAACTGCTTTCCGACTTCGGTCGCCCTGGTACTGTCTCGGGAACTAGTGGTGGATGCTTTGTTGGGCTCCACACGTTAACATCATCTACTTGATCGCCTTGAATTCTGACTCCGATCTGATGATACAAATTCATTCATTACACTTCTTATCTGCTTTGTCCTTAAACCTTTTGAAGTCGTCCCAAAGGGAGTTACAGTTAGACAGACATCAAATCACTAAGGATTATTCCAATTTTTTTTGTTAACAGCGGAAAATGTGGATTCATTTTCCAACCGCATCATCGCCGTAATGACAATAGCCCACGGTAGCCGGTTAGATGCTGGAGATGAAAACACACAAACAGAAACTCCAGGGGAAAGGAACGAGGAAAAGGGGGTAACCGTTAGTCAGATAAATCCACGAGTAGACCTACCGAGCTGCATACGAGAACATCATCAACTCCTGTAATGCACCATGATTACGTTGCCGATCCTGCGCTTCGTATACAGAAAAAGAGCGTGCACCATCACGGTCAATATTTTTCGGCAAGCTATTCGCTAACCACTTCGGGACTTTACCACATCTGACACAATATTGGCAACCATTGCACACCAAGGTAGTCGGTCGACAAACTTTCGAAGAAATTTAACTTGCGGACGAGTTGGCTCACGGCAGAAGGTATTCTAATGCGGAATTAGGAACTTGCTGCCACTCACCGACACGTGCGTGGTTTGTCTGCTCGGTGATTCCACGAGATACGAGCGACTTGCAACGGTCACAGTTGGTTACATATTACCGATTTCTTATCATCTCCAGCAAGTATTGGTCTTAGCTCTGGTTTACGTGGAGTCGATGTGCGCTGTAACGTTGATTACCGCGTTTACATTACCAAGTAACTTCACCACAAGGCTACTTAGCCATATGTCCACCGCACCTTTTTGAATGCACCACAAGACTTTCCTCCCTGCTGTGGCTTAGCAACAGTGCGCGCTCTCCTTTCATTCTTTTGGATTCGAACCCACAAGTCACCGACGGATGCCATTTATCCATGGATAATGAAGAAAAATCTAAGTATTCTTGTTCAGCAATCCTTTGTATCATGCTTTTGGTTCTGCCATCCTGTTCCCCTCTATTGTTCGAGCGATATTCTCCACCTAGTTTGTCCGATTCCATCCATCATTCTGGTACACACCATCATTTCTTTGTCAAACTTTTTCCTCTGCATCTCGTTGTCTATGTGTTCGCGTGACCTTTTCATCACGCAAATCTGGTTTTAATCCGAAGTTCCCTGATATCTCATTTTTCAGCCCCAGACAACGGGTGTATATGTTTCGTCCTCCGCACCGGTCTGAGCACATCGCAAGGCCGTCTGTTGAAGACCATAATGTACAGCGTGAAAGCTGTTACTGCGAACAACTTAGAGACCTTTTTATTCATCGCATTTTTGCTGGTATTCGCTATCATTGCTTCCGCTTACGTTTGGATTGAAGGTAAGCCACTTCCAGTCATTCTTACTTCCTCAGGCTGTTTGGAATCGTCTTTTTGCTTTGTTGGCTCAATTTCCGCGTTCATCCTTAGGCTACACAACCTTACGCCCACGCAGTGCGCTTTTATTCATATTTGTGGCGTTTTAACTATTTTCGCCTTCCTCGATCCACTCCGTTTCCAATTCGATAAGTCTCATCGCACCAATTTATTCTTTTCTCAGAAGCAATATATTCATTAGAACAATTGCTATTGATTTTCCACAAGCATTGGCACATGTTTCATTTATCTTCCATAGTCTAAAGCTTCACGCGCGCCTCGGTCACGATTAAGATTGCTGTTGTCGTCTTCCCACATTGAACTTGTTGATCCCTAGTAATTCAGTGTTTCGTTTTTCCCGCACCTCCCACTGCCGGAATTGTCTACTTACATGCACTCCAATCCCAGTAGCCTTACTATTTCACAGCGATTTCCCCTTTGTGAGTGGCTTGACGTCACCCCCCTCTGAGCCACCTTTGCACTTCCTTCTTCCAGGTTCGTCTGATCCGCGGCGCAACCGTTACAAACTGTTCTTGGAGTGCACTCTGATCTTGACATCCGTAATCCCTCAAGAATTGCCCATCGAGCTTTCCCTGGCCGTAAACTCCTCTCTGCTCGCTCTGTCCAAATTATGTGAGTCGCCCACTTGTTCACTATCAGTTGGCAATGTGGCTAACATACATCCCTAAGTCTGCCGATTTAGGATTGTTCTTTTCATTTGCTTGTAGTCGCGATACTTAACCCTAAACATAGATGGTATTATTCGGGTTTACTCACTTCTACAACACGATGGTTTGATTCACTTTACTGGTTCGTCTAAATTTATCCCACTAGAAGTGTGGTATCCTATTTTTACCCGACTTTCTTTTGGGTCTTTCGTGTGGTAATTAAAGTCCGTGTCATAAAGAGTTAGGCGGATGTTTGATCCACCTTGTATACCAGCCAGTGGTCGTGTGATTCGGGTGTCTTATCAGTAGTCCACAAACTACTTATCCCATGCTGTGTAGGTGGGTGCGGTCTCCCAGTATCCCTGACCAGCGCGCGACTGATGGTATGGTCCTTTGGCAACGAAACATCGATACGACGCACCGATGTATCGCTGACGACTCTTTTTGCACCGTATAAGGAAGGCTGGGACGTCACTACACGTGTTACATGCTGCTCATCATGAGTTCTATGTCCTGTTCCCATACACTTACCCGGAAATTCCAGCGAAACACATGAAAAAATTACTTGCCTTGTAATCTAACACCAGTTCGGTCATCCCGATAACTATCGACTTTCGCCGGAATCCTCTCATTTACAGTTATCATGTGATCTATCCTGGAGTGTTCTGTTTTGATTCTTCCCATGCGAGTATTAAGGTCATGACCTCGCTAAGCCGTTGGCTTAGATTGTATGAACAGCGTATGAACAAATGTGTTCAACATTTTCTCCTCTGTACAACAACGACGTAAATCACATCCTCTGTTAGCTATCGAATCCTTTGTCTTTTTGACGATTTTAATTTCACGAGATTGACATTTCGGGTCCAATGGAGCTCCCTACACTTGTACTAATCCAACGAAACTATTATCTTTCAGCGCACCATCTGCTCTATCTCAGTTTAACAAAAATTTTAATACGACTCTTGTACCGACCATCGGAAGAATCATTTAATCCCCCTTGCTATCGGGATGGACAACAGATCATTGCAGCATGAATACTGAATGTTGCATTATGGGAGCGAGTAGAAATTCAACTATACCACTCCAACAAACCATGATAAAGTTAAAAAACTGTCTGTGACCACTCAATACTCCGATTATTTTTCAAGTTCTCTCGTGTTATCGGCTGTATTGTTTGCAGGTTCGCTCGCGGCTTCAAAAAATTTATTCTTCCGCCTATCGGGACAGATGCGTCCAGTCAACAAGATGATTAAGATGAACCAGCTTGAGGCATCTTGCATGACCTAATATAGGTGGTGCTTAGCTTTTGCTTTCTTCTACATGTGTCAAATGCTAGCTCTACTGCTCTGCGATCCAGTGTACTCGGTCCACCCGTTGAGACGGGCCTGATGTGGGACACGCTTCCAGGGACTGTGTGGTCCTTGGAAAGTAAGGACAAATTTGAATAGCCATCAGTCATTATCATTCATGTACATTTGAATATTCCATCTGCATGGCTTTGAATCGTTATGCCATTGTTGTTCACTTTAATTGACTCATTCCGTTTCTCCACCTTGTTCTATCAATTCAGTTTCAGTGGTCCCGCGCCTGCATTTCACGGTTTGCTTTTTAGCTCAATCCATTCATGCAAGACTAAACCAGTTCAATACTGCTCACCCAGCCATACAGTTCTCGAGTGTGGGAACTGCTTGCCTAGTTATTCTTCTACCGGCTACATGTCTGATCCATCTGACTTGTTTATCAGCTGTCCTTACGCAAACCACCCGGTCATTTTAGGTTTGAACGACCCCCAGTTAATGAATTGCAAAGAATGATCTCCGTATATATGCACATACACGTGTGTCGCAAGCAACGTTTGCAGCATCAACTAACTTTTGGGCATCGAAATTGAACTTGTACACTTCTCGATTACTGTGAAACCGTGCCCACAAATAGTCGGATTTCCTTTGCATATACAACATGATCACGCTTACAGAACTGTCCATGGTGGGGGTTTTCGCAATAAAGGTGTTTTAACAAAAAGTTTACATCGGGGATTTCATTGTGAATCTCATCCAATTCATGGGCATTCTCAGTTGTTGCACTACGATGCATATCGATGGAGACCATGATGACGGTGGGCTCGTGAAAGAGGAACACTGCGAATGGAGATGTGAACACAAGTTAAATGGACAAATTACCATCGCGTATGAAGGCACCAATAGCAAACAAAAGGAGAATTACGAGGCAAGCTCTTTGTGAGAAACAAAAGCCCTATACCTAAAGTCACGGAACTTGGACCATGATAAACGGGAGAAAACTGCGGTTGCTACGTCCACATCTCTTATTCTGAGCAGGCTTTTGGCTGCCGCAAGTGACTGAGGTGAGGAAACGTACAGATGAGGAAAAAGTAAATAGGCTTGAAGTGCCTAATCCTTCTCGAGACTCCATGTCTCGTGCACTTCGAGAACGAATTGTTTATGCCCATACTATGCAACTCTCTTACTATTCCTTTGCAGTAAACTTTCATCATCATCATCATTATACACGCTAGCTAGATGTGTAAAAGCACCTCAGCCACTGTGTCGCAATACATAAAAGAAAAGAGAAAATAACTACAACAGTTGCATGCCAACTGAGCTACCAACAATGCATGGGCATCGTTCCGGAAATCAAGCAGCCGGCTATTAGCCAACAAGAAAATTATGATGTAAAATTATATTACGCTACGAAATGAGATCGTCGTTGGAGGGGAGGCTAAAAGGGATGGGGAGGGACGAAGAAACTCACAGCAGGAACGCCACTGAGGTCGGCTCCTAGCCATGTCAGCAAGTGTATCTAACAAAACGTGTTCATCGTCTTTTGGATTCCAACCATAGAGCCGTGGAGCTCCAACCAAGGCCGGCTTTGAAATAAGGGCCTTCATTCCCCTCGGGCAAGTCATCGCTTGGCTACCGCTCCTCTTCTTCCATCCACACCCCCGGCGCGCAAACAACGCACATCTCGGAAGTCGGTGGGCTGGCATGCGCAACACGTGGCCGAGCCATCGGAGCCTGATGCGTGAAAGAACGGTGCTGAGCGGTTCATTTCCTTTTCCCGTGCCATAAACAAGGCGTCGAACACGCTCGTTGCTCACGCGGTGTTCCCACCAGATGTGAGCCAAACTGCGAAGGCACCGATGGTCGAACGTAACTAGCCTCTTTATGTCTGCTGATCTAAGGGGCCAGGTTTCGCAACCGTACAGTAAGGTCGAACGTACCGCTGCATTGTACACACTACCCTTCAGGGCCAGTGATATCGCGCCGCCCCATAGGTGCCGAAGGTTAGCAAAAGCATTTCGAGCTCTAACTATACGGTCTGTGTTCTTGTCTTTGATCCCAAAGGCGCTGATCCAGCTTCCCAGGTAGTTGAATTTTTGAACGACTTCTAGCTGATCCCCACCAAGGGTCAGCGCAGGAGGCGATTCCTGCCAATTTTAGAGGAAAGCTTTGCACTTCGATGGTGCAAAGCGAAGCCCGAAGCGGCTGACAGCCAGCGCTAATCTGTCCAGTGCAGCTGGGCACGTCTGGGAACTGTCACAGACGACGGCATATCATTCACATATCATCCACATTAAGAAGTCGTTCTCCTGCGAGTAGCTCCACACTTCAGTCATGTCCTGTAAATGCAATCTCTGTGACTTCGTCAGTAGCGAAGTTGAAGTGGAGAGTTGACAACGGGCATCCTTGTCTCACACCACTGGAGATATTAAACGGCGAACACAGCTTGCCGTAAGCCCTCACTCTGCCTGAGCTACGCGCGTATAATGCTCGGATAATATTTACATATTTCTCGGGCACAACTTTCCTGAGTAGACAGTCACAAAGGGTACATCATTCATCCGAATCGTGGGCACCTTTGATATCGAGGAACACGACAATGGCGGTAGGCAAATGTTTGTGATGGTGCTCCAACAACTGACGCAAAGTGAACTTGTGGTCAATGCAGCCATGACTCCGACGAACCGCGGCTTGCTCCTCAAGAATCTGACTTTCACGGTCGCCAGTCAATCTGTGAAGGAGTACAGAGGCAAGTAATTTGGAGGCGATGTGGATCAGACTGATTCTTCTATGGTTGCCGCATTCCGAGCGCGAGCCTCCTTTGAAGGCGGGAACAATAACGGAGCGGCTCCAGTTGGCTAGGACAGTTTCCTGCTCCCACAGTTTCACTAGTAATTCCTGTAACTCATCCACAATCGCAACTCCCCCAACTGTGAAGTGGGCTGGAGGAAGATCATCTGGTCCCACGGCTTTATTTAACTTCAACAGTCCGATCTCACGTTTGACTTCAGAGCAAGGGGGCGGATGCAAAGGTACAGCCCACGGAGCGGGGCGATCACTAGCCGGTGAGGAATCGAATAATTCCGGCCGATTAAATTGCTTTTCAAAATGCTCAGTCCAACGCTCCAAACCTTTTGACAAATTGTGGATAGGCTGTCCACTATCGTCACAAATTGTTTCACGAACACCAGGTCTCCTGCTGCCCGTTTCCCATATCAGAGGGAATAGCTTTCGATGGTTACCAAAGGCGGTGGCTACTTCCACCTCGGACGCACGAAGAGACCACCAAGGTTCGCGATCTCTCTTCAGACTAGCACGGAGTCTTGCCCGGAGGTCTTTGCGAGTTTCATTGCGTTCGCTTCCAATCGGAATATGCCGGCGAGCATCGATAAGTTCCATCAATCGCGAAGAGATCCAATGTCCATGTTGGCCGTTCGACTTACTACATGTGGATTTGCCTCCTGCTAATGAGGTCCGGTGAACTTTCGATCAGTGACCTTCAACTGTCTCCAGTGAACCCTTACTCAACTCGCATGTCAGCGTACTTTGATACACATTCAGAACAGTTGGCTTCGTCAGTTGGCTGGTGTCAATGTGCTCACAACGTTGTCGTGGGTGTCCGCCAAAACGCATCCGCAGGTCAGCACACACAAGTGCATGGTCGGTG